TGCTACTACGGCTTGACCACGAAAGCCTTGATCCTTGAAGGGCACACTAATAACCCACCCTTTCTCTCTACTTGTATGGTGTTGAGTATGTAGCTACTTTTAAAGCTGGTTAACGTTAAGTTTTAATCCTGCACCTTCATTGGAAAGCAGCGTTATCGTGGAAACTCCATCCGTTCTTTCGTTTTTGTCTTCAGTAGTTACTTATTGTTCAATGCTCGACACTTGGCAATAGTTTGTTCTAACTCAGGGCTCGTCGCCACCTCAGTATTAAAACCCATTACTAACGATGAGCGACAGTGACGATAGTGATTTCTTTATCGATGACTCTCCCAAAAAGAAAGCACCACCCAAAAAACCAGCAGGGGAGAAGAAAGCTCCAGCAAAACCAAAGGAGCCTAAGGAGCCGAAGGAGCATAAAGAAAAGAAAGAGAAGATAGGTAAGTTGAATGTAAGGTTTTGTTCATCAAATCTAGGCGTTTGAATTTTTGTTTTGCTTTCAGCTGATATATCAATGACGATGACAGAAGAGGATAGGAATGTGTTCACGAATATCGACCAAGCTTCCAACAAAGGGAAGAAATTGGCTATTGAGGATATTTATCAGAAGAAATCGCAACTCGAACACATCTTGCTTCGTCCTGATACCTACATCGGATCTGTGGAATATACAGAGAAGACAGTACGTGCATTAGAATAGTTTCTTTCAGGCCGCGATTAGATCGCGCTATCCAATAGCGTGATCGCGGAGTCTGAACGCGGTCTCAGTTTGAAAGTAGCGCTAGTCCTATTCATATAGTTTTTAGTCGATGTGGATATACGACAGCGAAACTGAAAGGCTTGTTCTGAAAGACATCCAATATGTGCCAGGACTGTACAAAATTTTTGATGAAATTCTTGTAAATGCTGCCGATAACAAACAAAGAGATCCAAAAATGAACTGCATCAAGATCAATATTGACAAGTAAGTTTTTCCCGATTCTTGACCTTCTGTGTAGAATTGAAATTGTTTTTCGTAAACAACACTATATACCGGAGATAGGGGGGGGGGGGGGGCTGCACAGCATTTTAACCTAGAGGCGACTGCTGGAAAACGTGTACTGCTCTTTGACTGAACCATATTCAAATAAAATATGGGCACTATTTATCCTTTACTGCCCCAACCATCCAGAACTGGGCCAGTTTCTGATCGACTTTGTTCTCCCTGGTTATCTGAGGTATTTTAGCGCCAGGCCCTGTGGCGCGGGCA